GGGGTAAAATACAGTTGTAGTCACAATTTGTTAAAAGTATGTAACAGGTTTTTCTTGACAAATTTTGTTTTATGGGCTTGGTAAATTTTAAAAGCCTGCCAGCGATAAAGATAAGTGGTGTTACCTTCTGTTGCAAAATCACACTCTGTTCTCGGGCATGGTGAAATACAAACTTCTTGACTATAGCATCTCATAAGTCTTTAAGGATTCTTAATGTTAAGGAAGAAGATGCACAAAAATGGTGAAGTTTCTATTCCAGTTTGGGGGAGGGATATTTCCCTTCCTATTTCTTTGCGGGTCTACAGTCTCCGAATGGATTAGAAGTTTAACGATGGAGATAATTTGTAGCTCAAAATCGTGTCCTTACTTAAGATAACAGTTGACTTGAAAGGGTTTCGTAGTTGAAATAAGTCTTAACTTTGCATGCAGATGTACAGAATTTCAGAAGGCATGGCGACATCACTCAAGATAGATTTCATGGGAGTATTCTTTTGTGTACTAATTTCCAGACAGAATGTATAGAGGTCAGAAGAAAGGTATGGTGGGGGCTCATCAAGCAAGTTTAAAGCATGACCCCCCTCCCTCCTCCCCTCCCCAACTGCATATTGTCTTTTGAATTTTCAATTTTTTGCCTGACTGCAGAGACACAGCTTTACATTTGTACCTTTCTTCTCTCGCAGAAGTTTTGTGTTTGTTTTTCATTTGTCATTCAAAAATATCACTTACCCAATTTCTAGAGAGAAGTGAAAGTGAAGACACCGAGAGTGACAGTGACTCTGAAGACCTGAACATTAATTGTAGCAATCTACTATCTATCACCATCTTCATCTGAGAGGGGTGTTGAAATTATTTGGCAGCTTGAATCTTCTATTGACTTGTACCAATCACGTGTGCAGACTGGCCTTGTAGCTCCGGCGGTGCACGTTCGTCATGGTGTGAAAGACGGAGAGAAAGTGCTGTGTGGCGGCCACTGGGCCTCCAGGTTCATGACAGTGTGACACTCACAAAACCCAGTCCCCTTCTTTGCACTTTTCATTTGATCATATTATGTATGGGCCTTTGTTGGGTTCTCATTGTGAATGCTATTTTATGATGCGACTACGTTGTTTGTGTTGTTTTTGTTTATTCCATTTTTTTTTTAGCTTTTTTTTTTTTTTTTAAATTTCAATTTGGTTAATTGATTATGATATTGACTTTCATTTCTTTGTTCTATT